TTGTCGTTTATATTTATTGAATAGTGAGTAACCATTTGTATTTGAGAGGCATATTGGATGCCAACAACCAAATTAAATCTTCTTGATTGGCACTACCATTTGAGAATTGTTCTCAAGCATGAGAAGGTTGGTTGTCCTTAAATAGCTATTTTCCAGAGACATCTGGTGATGACTCAACTAAGGAAAATGTGGCTACTATAATAAACACAGTAATGAGACAGTATTGCACGCATGGGATGCCTGCAATTATGTCACCTGAGTTACAAAAGCAACTTGAGAGTATAGATGTTAACACATAATTCTTCGTTACAAAGAGTTGTATGATAATAATCATGTGTGGAAGGATATGAGACTTCCAAACAACTATACCGATGCAAAGTGACAAAAAAATCTTCAGTCAATTCTCATGTACTAAAGATGATAGACATGAGAAGTGTCTCAACCGAGTTCAATCATTAACTGTGAACTAAGTATTGACTTAACTCTACAATCTCTGTCATAGAGTTATTCATACTAATTATGAATTATGATATGAATAAACTCGAATGCATACTCATTAAGTTGCTTAACATGCTTAAAACTATTAAGCCCTTTATCAAAGTTGGTAGTGGGCAAACCATTGATTCCTCTAAGGGTATTAAGAGGAAGTCTAAAGGGACTTTGGGAAAACATCCAATATGGTTAAGATAGTTTAAGCGAAGGACAATACCAAATCTAATAACCCTTGGTTTCATTCTAGAATGAAAGGTCATTGGAAGAAATATATGGTGGCTTATGTCTACTTCAAGAGTTTCTTAGGTATTTGATACCAGATGTAAATATCATATTTATACAAATATGGAGAAACTAAATAGAAGTAGACCACCGTGAAAGGGAGAAGTTGACATACACGTTGGAGATGAGCAAAGGTTGCTGCACTGCCTGTATGAATATACTTCTTGCCATTGCCTTTCGATTTAGTATTGGAATTAGAGAAATGTCGCTTTATACCAACTATAGCTGGAACATTAAAATGAATTTCATGTTAGGACATGAACTATTTTAATGTTAAGGACAATAGTTGTTCTTATTTATCTTGTTAAAAATTCTAATGGCTATGGTAAATTATAAAATAATGTTTATATTCTTTAATACTAAAGATTCTATAATGAGTATAGAAATTATAAGGCATAAATACTATGATATAATTATTACCAAAATCTGGCATGACAGACTTTGTCATTTAGATGAAATTTAATTTCAAAGTTACATAAAGATGTATACTTGAGATTAATTGATTTTGACAAGTACAAATTATGCATGTCTGGCACAATGACCAAATTTTCTTTTACTTGAAAAGAAGATAGGTCAGCATAATTGTTGGTCTAATGCATGGTGATGCATATGGACTCGTGTCAATTAATGTCAGGTAATGTTTCTATTATTTCATCAATGATCATGTATACTTGATGAAAACTCAAACATGAAACTCTTGAAAAGTTCAAGGGATTCAAACTAGAAGTAGAGAAACAAATAGGTAAAGATACCCTCACATTAAGATTCGATCAAATGAGAGTATCTTAAAAATAAAATCTAGATTATATAAGAGTGAATGAGATTCTCTTGCAGTGGACTTCTTCATATACACTGCAACAAGGTGGTGTATCTAAAAGGAGGAATCGTTAATTATTAGATGTAATGCAATTAATAACAAGTCATGCAAATCTCCCAAAATTATTTTGGAGTCATGCATTGATTGCAGTGTGCAACACACTAAATCATGTCCCATCTAAATTGGTTAACAGAACTCCATACGAGTTATGGAAAGGCAATAGTCCCAGTTTATCTTATATGAAAGTTTGGGGCCATGACGCTTATTTGAAGCGCCTTGAATCGGATAAGTTTGACACTAAATTCGATAAATACGTATTTGTGGGGATATTCAAAGCAGACGTTTGAATATAAATTTTATTATAATAAAGAAAGTCTTCATCTCACGACATATCGTCTTCTTAGAGAAAATGTTTACTCTAGGGGAGGACAGTGGGAGCAAAATAGAACTTAAAAAGTTCAAGAGTCCACATATATAATTAACCAAGTAGATAGATCCGTGTTTGATCCCATATTTAATATGAGACATGCTCTTGATTAGAAAGTAAAGACTCCTGAGGACATGACAACTTTATGTGAATCTAGTAGGATCATTTGACCTTTAAGAAGGTACGAATCCATGATTATTAATCAGGTACTAGTGATCGAGGATAATGAACCTGCTAGTTGCAACAAAATAAAGTCAAGTGTTGACTTAAAAGAGACAGTAAGAGGCCATGATACTCGAGATGAACTCGGCGTATGTGAACAAGGTTTGGACCTTGATCGAGCCTCCTGATGGAATAAAACCCATAAGGTTTTGTAAATAGTTAACAAGGGAAAGGTCGATGTGAATGTGAATATCCATATATACAAAGCAAGGTTAGAATCAAAGGTTAAGTGTTGACCTTGGTGAAACCTCTCTCCTATGGCCTTGCTGAAGTCCATTCAAGTTTTATTTGCAACAGTTGCATATCGTAACTAAATGTTAAAATAAGTATTTATGGAGCTGAAATCTTCGATTTGATGGAAAAAATCAAAGTGTTTGATTTTATCAAATTTGAAGACGAATTGTGTGTTTACAAGAAGATAGTGGGAGCATTGTCGTATTCATAATATTATAGAAAACGACATCCCTATGTTTCAATCGTTAAAATAATGGTTGTTAAATGATTTATTCTTGAACGATATGGGAGAAACAACTTGATCTATAGAGATAGATCTAGAAGGTTGCCTAACTCGTCCCAATCTATATAAAATATTGAGAAGATTTTATATGGAGAAATTAGTTTACTCTTAAACGGTGTATTGGAAATGTTCCGAATGTGAAGCAACCGTTGATTCAATAGTAGAAACCTAATACATGATTACTTCAGAAGTAGCAAAGAGTTGCAATCTGAATCATAATGCTCATGAATGAACTTGGAGTAGTTTCTAATATTGTTGATCACATGACATTGTATTGTGATAACAATAGAACCATTGCGAAAGCAAAGGAACTAAGGTCTCATCAATGATCCAAATATGCATTAAAGCGGTATAATCTCATCAAAGAGATAATACATAGAAATGACGTAAAGAGAAGAACAAATTCCCACATTTAACAATATTGCAGATCCACTAACAAAGAGTTGTCGTAGTATAAATATGATCATCATGTAGACTTATGATATTGGATACATAAGTGATTGGATCTAGTGCAAGTGGGAATTTGTAAGTATTATGCCCTAGGTCCAATCATTTTTGGACATAAATACTTGTATATATAATTAATGCAATTTAATGACAGATCTATTATTTAATTAATAGATAATTAAATAAATAATAGAGTCCGTAAATTCAAATCTTCGAAATTTGTTAATCACAAGGAGTTGTAATTGTGAGATATAAATTACATCTGATTGAATCTTAAATCGTCCGTGGTTGTAAGTAATAACGAGATACGGATATCGTTATTATGGATAGACCATCACGTGTGGCATTTTTTACTTGTAAAGTAAGTAACTGATCTCACAAACTAAAGTGTGGTGATACTTAAATTACACGTGGATGTTTTGTTATAGAACAAAACATTGGAGACCCGCTGAGAGATTCCACATGGATAACTATCTGAGTGTCAGTGGTTAATCTCTAACGTTCGGTAGTGGAATTGGTCCTTAGACTTGAGGTCGTCATGGTACCTTATATGAGGACAGTCATACTTTGGCGATATTGGATGTTGCTCTGCAAAGGGTCGTTAATACGATATCATTTGGGTACATCAAGAATTGTATGAAGGTTGTGATTGACCAATAAAAGATTCGTCACTTTTAGCTAGTAGGAAATTATGATCTGCATTTCATTCAATTAAGTTGATAACGAAATCCTTGACCAAGGTGTACTCATAAGTCGAAAATGAGTTTTCGACTTATATTGACTTAATAGTGGAGTGAAAGATATTATCGATGATTGAGATTAACACACTTCCATATCTCGTAATTGATCGGATCATATTGACGAAAGGATTATAGTTTCACGGTAAACGAACGAGTTTGGTTTTGTCACATCACAGACATTTCCCGTCACATGTATTGTCATAACACATTGCTAGATATCAATTAGGGACGACGAGTGTGAATTGATGATAAATTAAAATGGTGTTTTAATTTATCAATTTTGATTAGATCAAAATAATATTTCACGTCGTTAGGCATCGTGGTCAGGAACCTAATGGGTCGCACACAAAAGAGAATTGGAAGATTGCAAATTGCCAATTGGTTAATTTAACAATCGTTAGATAAATTAATTAATTGGATTTGTTATTTATATTCTCGAATTAATTAATTGGATTAATTAATTCACGGACCGGATTTAATTAAATGGATTAATTAAATATTGGACCGGACCGGGCCGAGCCTGTTTGGGTTTATATAAATACATGGTTAGGGTTTGAGGTCCATATGCTTTTCATTATTCTTGCTGACACAAGAGAGAAAATCCTGGTTGCTGCAATCTTATTTTCTGTGTGGATCACCGTTGGAGGCTGGACAATTAGACAACTGTAGATGACGAATCAAGATTGCTGGAACTAAAAGAAAAGCAAAAAATTTGCAGAATTCTTCAAAGGTATAATCTTTATCACAATTTCTATCTAAACACAAAGGGATCCTCGGTGGGAATCTAAATAATTTTAATTTTTCACTGTGCATGTATAAGTAGATTCCCAACAATTTAGACACTGATTTTTGACACTTGCATTGTTGTCATATTTCAATTGGAAAAAAAAAACTGTTTGAAATTTAAATTATCCAATAGGATAATGTCACGTGATAAAGTGTAAAATAAAGTGTATACCATAATGTACATGTAACAATGTTCAAATTCCGATACAATTTTGTTTGGTTGTGTCAGCTGGTCCACGGTTACGCATGGAAGCATATCAACAAAGAGGAAGTATAATTTTTTCTTGAAATTTATAAAGTATACAATTGAAGTGAAATTACAAGCTACAAATTATTTTTATGACAAACTTTTAGGACAACTACAAAATCAATTACATTTCAAATCCGAATATAACATTACTCTATTTATTTTACTCATAATTAAAATGATCTCGTATACTTTTAATTGGTTTTTCCACAGTTGAGCCTGATTTGTCCACTGGTGCCAGTAAGTGGGCTGAGGTTTCCCATTTTCACCATAGCACTAGCAAAATCATTAAAAAAAGAAGCAGAGTTTGAGTTATAAGCGTTCACTTGAGAATCAGTGGAGCCACCACTAAAGAGCTGCTGATCAGAATGCAAAAGTCCTTTCTGGCTTAGCAAATTCGTGAAATAATTGTTATCAAATGACGTCGGAGTGACTGTATCCAGCGGTGAAAGGTTGCTGTCGCCACCACTTCTCGGGCAGTTTGCTTGCAGTGATGTCGCAAACGAGGCATCTATGTTGGCTTCATTATATAGTCTTGGTCGAAAAGTCATGCATCTTGCTTGGCCTATTGTATGAGCACCTGTATAAAAATTAATATTGCAAACGATGAACGATGGAATATGACTCACCACATAGTTCGATTGTCTAAATATAAGTAGAATCATGCTACAGTATAATCATTGACATAATGCTACGTGACATTCCATCATTGAATTGTCAGTCAACTTTTTCATCAAATCATCTGCTGTCACCTGGGCTTATGTCAATGCATCTGTTAAATTTCTTTTGGCAAAGTGGAAAAATCCTCATATGTATATATACCTGAAAGGGCTACCATCTCCTTGGCTGTGAATCCTTTGTTAGAGAAGGAAGAAATAAGGCCACTAAGATTCAAAGTTGGAGCTGGGATGTTGTTGTTAGCAGCACTCAAAGTTGTAGTGGTCGAGTCCCTTCTTCCAAGTACAACTGACCAACTTGGGCCTCCCAACTAAAATATCAGTCAAAAGTCAGGGGTTTATTAGAAACTGTGAGCATAAGAAAAGAGAAGAAGAGAGAAACTGTGCTTACAGCAACGACAGAATCCCGAGCAGCAACAGCCAAAATATCTGCACAAGAAACGGTGGCTGGACAAACATTCTCGACTTGCGATTTGATGGTGTCTATCACATCCATTCCTCTCAATGAATTCGCATTCGCCCCGGCCGTCTGTTCTCCAGTGAAGTTGGCCGTGTCATCGAGCAACACCGATGCATCGCAGCCCTGTTCATTCATTTGTATTTCGCCGACTAATTATTAATTATATATACATCTTAATCATTCACTATCAATTATTACATTAGTATAAAATTTTCATAGTTCTTCCATTTTGTTAATTAATTTCACATTGAGGGATTAGTTTTCTCCGCATATTTTGTAGTACAAATTCATGAAAGAAGAAAAAGTTAGAAAATAAAGCAATTTTTTGTAACCAAGAAACACATGAAAAATTGCATACGTATGACTTTAACTTGGAAACAAAGTTGTACCCATTATCTTATTTTCTTTGAAAACTTGGGGTCATGTAACATTAGGACCATGTTTGATGGGATTAAAATCAAGATCTTAATCTAACTCAATATTAAAATCAATATTATAAGAAAGACTAAAACGAAAAGTAAACAAATCCAGCATGGAAATGCCCCGCCCTGCGTGCACTTCTAGACCGTTGAAAACTAAATTTAAATAAATGAACTTGAGAGATTAATATTTTACATGAAATAATGCCAAAAAATCAATGGAAAAAGCAATTAAAAGGAGATAAAGAAGCTAAGGGTGTGTGAAACTTGCATTGACAAAGCAATCATGGAAATGAAGACGAAGCAACGACGCTCCCATGCGAGCCTCATTGGACACTGCAGAGTCAACTGCAGTTTTGATGGTGGAAAGGAGATTGGGACACGAACTCGAATAGAAATTGGAAGACAATTGTGCTGAGGATAATCCAACCACAAGCACATGTAGAATTAATCGAATAGCAAAAGCATTTTGCTTTGCCGAGGAAGAAAAGGATTTAATCTTAAACATAATTGATCAAAGATTAAGAAGAAATTTACAACGTTTTCTTAATTATAATCCAACTGTTTTGCTTATGGGTTCTGCCTTACATTTCCATGAATTTATATAGTCGATGATTGGGTAGACTTATGTGCTGTAATCCATTTCGTTATTTGCTCCAGTCAACCTTTAAAAAAAAAAAAAATAAATAAAAGGAAAAAGAGTTACATATAGATATTATCTTATAACGTTAAAAGACACACTTCTTTTTCCAACATTGTGGGCGAGCCTTAGCGTGAAATATATAAGAAATCCACGTAATAACTCCAAAAAAAGTCTCCCATCAAAATAACTGTCGACATTAAGTAATTTATATAATATAATTTAAGAATTTGGTGGTGAAGTTGACATGGTGTTAGCATTTCACATCGTAGGAGCAAGAGAAACATCGACATGCAATAGCTTACTATAATTCATTACAATTATTCACGTCAAAAATATTTTCGAATTTGATGTCAATCGTTGAGTTGAATCAAAACTTAGATTAGTAAATCTTATGAATAGAATTTTAACTTGATTCTTGGTGCTTGGTAATTGGATTATGGGTTCAAATGAGTATTTTTAATAGACAAGCTATGTAATAATATGCTTTCAACTTAAATGATAGAAACAACTTTAAAGTCTTATGTTCACTGGACATATACCAACTTGCTTCTATGCTTTGCCATATCAACTAAGATTTGAAGAAGGTGATGAGTATCGTCATTAACTAGGTTGAGGGTAGGTCTCAATCAAAATGAAACTTGGACTCGGATCCTAGATGCAGATCAATTGAAATCACTGAGCTTAGCATTATTTCATATATTAAGCCCATATTTGGTAGGGTTTAAAATCTAGATTTTATTTTAAATCAAAATCAACAATTGATTTTAATTACATACTTAATAGCACTTGCAACTTTTTAATCACACATTTTATCAGCTTTTATCAAAATTTATTAGAAATCTGACTTTAATTTCGACCAAACAAGGGCTAAGTCTTAATCGAGAATTTTTTATCATCTTTATTTGATTTTTAAAATGATCATGTTAGTTCCTAATGTGCAGTCGTCCTAAGATATTACTTGATTTTAACGAGTATAACAACAATAATAGAAGTTACTATCAATCTATTATAACATTGAAATACAAATGAAATTCATCTTGTGTACTTGAATCATGCAATATAAAAGGGTATTTCAAACATACTCTCTAAATATAAGATACTTTTTATTTTAAAGAGTCAATGCTTAATGAAGTTTTGGAGAGCCAAATTTAATCTTTATTGTTAATTTATAATGACTACATTTATTAATCTACATATTTCAATGCTCTATTTATTAATTTATAGAAATCATATTGAATTGATTGACCATTGACACTAAAAGAATTGTTAAATAAATGATATGGAGAAATCAACAAATATATTTGAAAAACAAAAATAGAAAATAGAAAATTATATTTTCTACTATATATAAGATACTCTTTGTAAATAGAAAATTTTTTAAAGACACTTTTATTAAAGCATGTCATTATAGTATCTTGCTACTACATCTGGTCCAACATTTTTGGTACTCTTCAAGATATGACTAATAAAATGCTTACAAAATAAGAAAAGTTGCTTCTATGTAGAAACTAAAGTGAAACACCATGTGACATGATATGTGAACACTATTTTTTCTGGAAAATGAAAAATGCAGAAGAGAGAACACCATGAAAACATTGTATATAACATTTAATTTATGTTATAACTTTAGTTTTTTTATCTAAAGAAAACATATTTATCTTAAACTCTAATTATTTCTTATTGTTATTTTATATATATATAAGGTTAAAGCTTGCAGTTAATTTAATTTCTAGTTGAAACTCACCATAGGTTAGTTTTGTACTTAAGATTGCAATAAAGCCATAATGAATTACTGCAATTCTCAATTATAGTTTGTCAATTATTTTAGTCACAAGTTTTTCTGAAGTTTTCTATAAGTTTTCAAATTCTATCAAAATAAATAAAGTAATAAACTCTTGATTGAAGTCATGACGCGTTTCGAAACATGTTCAGACGGAAAAGCTAGTTTTTTTTTGGGAATTTGGGTCCCACGCCCCCATTCCACACGTACATATCTTTTGTAAGTCCATCCAAAGGACTTTCCATACTGCGAAGTGTGAACGGAGCAACGATGGAGAATCTTGTTTGGTGGATTTTCCAACTTTTTTTAATCTTAACTTTATCGCATGCAAATGGCTTATCCTCTTTTATTTTATTTTATTAGATTCTCTTTATTTGTCATTTTATTTCTCATTTTCAAAAGAAATTAGACCGTTGACGAGTCCCATCTGACCTTTCTTTTTACTGACCTCTCACATTGTGGGTGGTTGCAAGCTTCCTGTTATAATTCGGAACAAATTTGAAATTACTTTGTCCAAAGTGGAAATTTTAGATACCAATTTGTTGAGAATCAAATCAAATAACTGAAGAACGAAAAAATATGGGTAATATGAAAATAATGGATCACACAACAAACAAAATTTTTGGAAAGGAGGAGATTTTATTATATAAAAAAACTAAAATTGTCTTTACCAGATTTGATTCTCTCAATTTAAATCTAAACAATTTTCTCAAGTTTCAAATGTATACAATAATGATCTAATTGTTATTTTGAGCCTATACCCTATGAAGTATTTATAGGAGTCAAATCTTGAAGTTATGGATAAAGTAGGATCCTTAATCCCAAAGTCTTTATCCCAATCAAACTCTAAATTCAAAATGAAATTTGATCCCTTATTTATTTGGACTTCTAAACCAAAATTATCTAAACTTCCTCTATTAAATACAATTTCAAATCATATGTAATTTGAGTCACAACGTAAAAAAACTCTACCTTGACACAAATTTCATAACAATAAATTAAGTCTTCATTCTTTAACTCTTTCACCTATCCCTTCTAGGCACGCCACGTCCCTATCGGGCATACTGAGCATCTATGAACTAAATCTAAACCCTACTTACCTACAGAACTACTTTGGATGCCAACCTTCTTGAACAATCTCCGTTCTTCTTCTGCTCCAATCGAATCACCAAGACTACTCAAATTATCATGAGCACTTTCAACTCCACCTGAGTTGTCAAACATGCTCACATCATCATGAGAAATATGATCAATATTCCAACTAGCTCCATTTGAGCTACTAGAAGCTCCAATATTATTGTTTGAATCACCATGAAAGAAGTGAGAACTACTGACTCCACTTGAGTTACGGCTTATCAAACCATAAGCTGCAATCGCATCCACAGTGATCGTCGAAGATTCTAACACATATCACCAAAACTTTCTCCGTCCTCTTAACACAATCCAAGTACCCCTGCTAACTTTAGAACACCATCTCCACCTGTATACTTGTACCATTTTGAATCAAGGGTACTCAAAGAGATTACATTCTTGTTTATACCTGGAACATGTTGAACCTCGCTAAGATATTGACCACCCCATCAAATATCTTGATTTTGACATTACCAATTCTAGCTATTTTACAAGGCTCATTATTTCCCACCATCACGGAAACTTATGTAACTTTTTCATATAAAGAAAATTAATCCATGTTTGGACACATATAAAAAGTGCAAGCCGAATCAAGAATCTAATCTTCGTCAAGTTTTAAGTCAGTATCAGTAATTGCCAAAAGATCTCCATCACTTTAATATTCTTCTATGAGATTGGCATCATTGGAATGTCCTAGTTGTCCCTTCTGATCTGCAGTAGCAAACCTGTTCTGTCACTCATATCAATCCCTCTTCATGTGCTCCTTGTTGTTGTAATACCAACAAACTATATCACTATTGCTATCATTGACTCTACTCCTTTCATGAGCACCCGTCTTCCTCTCACGAAAAATAATGGGCCTCAGATCCAATGACCAAATTCTTCATCTTCTCATTGGAATAATATGCATCATATATCTCGTCAATACTAAAAGTATCACGACTACAGAGTATGGTATCTCTAAAAGTCACATATGAAGGTGGCAATGAACATGACAATATCGCCCCCAAATCCTCTCCATCAAACTTGACATCCATGGTCTCCAAGTCAATGACAATTTTCTTGAACTCCGATAGATGATCTTCTAAAAATCCACCTTCTCTCAATCGATGAGAATACAACCGCTACTTCAACTATTCCACATGTATCGAATGTAGCGGAAGATTTGCCACCAAATGTGATTTTTGGGTTCAACTATTACTTTAAATCGAATCAAACAACCAATAGTTATATGAGTGGACCAAGGCCAAGCTAATAGATAAACCAAGTAAACCAAGTAGTGGGCCAACTCTCATAAGCCTTCTAAGAAGTGGACGGGACTGGCCATGAGCATCTCTAATTAAAATTAGGTCGCTTCAAATGATCCCAAATAGTTTTCGTGTCAAGCTATCAATCTTAGGTGTCGATATTTAATTCAATCTTCTGGATAATGTTGACTAAAATTCCAACTACTTAACATCTTCGTTCGGGATTTATTGGGTATCAAAACTCAACAAATCTCTACTTCGATCCTCAATCAATCTGTAAGCAATCAAAACACAAAACCAATACTTGCATAATCAAGATGACACTAAGTTTACTCTCAATAAACATCACTAGGGTTATCACTCGACTCAAAAGCAACATTAGCCTCACCTCACTTCTTATCTTACCTTTCTGTTTATCTTTCTTCTTGGGCAATCAATCCCTCACAAAGTGTCCAAACTTAACATAGTCGTAACAACGCTTACCATTGATGTTGTCTCAACTCTTATCATTCTTTTTAGTACCATCATCACTTGAATCACTATTATTTTGAGACTTAACTAGACTCATTTCTTAAACTTCATTCTACTCCTCTTCATCTGTACATCACCATTCCTCTTATCATCTCTTTTAACCTTAATCTCTATCTCTTTACTTCTAAGAGAAACATTGATACTCTCGGGTGCTAAGGTGTTCCTAATATATTTAATTGCATTCTTAACCTCTCAATATGAGTTAAACTTAGAATTCAGCAAAATAATAGCTTTATATGTTTTAGACACCTT